GTATTAATGACATTTTGTTTTTTTTTTTTTCTCTCGTATAACTTATTGCAGTTACATTTTACTGTTATAAGTTACAATTTCTATTACTTTTTCTTTGTGACCATTTTCGTTATATAATAATTCAGTTACATCAACAATAATAATAGTAATAATAATTATTATTTTAATGTATTTTTAATGTTTTAAAACAATTGAACAAAAGAAGAAATTCTCGTTTGTCCAAATAAAAGTAAGTGTTTTGTTTAATATGAGTGGAGATTTCTTTGGTGGTATAGGAAAACTATTTACTGCACCCTACATATAGAATGAGCTCAATATATCTCATATTATTGACATGCCAGCGATAATAAATTGAAGGATTACAGGAAATCCCGCCTAAATTATGGGCAATATCTGGAAAGATTGTTGAACAGTATTTTTTAGTTCAAAAGTTTTTCTTATCTCTCCAGTGAGGCGGTTAACCTGCTTATGGGATAATAGAGATATTAATTAACTTACCTCTAATACCAGCAGTAGCGTATGCATTTTTTTGTACAATTTTGCTTAAATATTATAAACTTAAATGACAAATTACTAGTATTTTTTTTCTTATAAAATATTCAAGTAGCGTTTTTAAATTTATAACCTTTCTATTACTTTTTTTATAAACGTATTTTTTTATAACCATCTTTGACTGTCGGTTTCGTTTGCATAAGGCCGCGCGGTGCGACACACGCTGACTTTCTTCATTTACATAATATCAATCAAAATATTTATAATAAAAAAATACCTAATTAAATATTTGCTTGGAAAAAAAAACTAAACGACAATTATTACTACAAGTAGCTAGTTAAATGTTTGAACAATAAGTGGGGAATAACATGGCCCTCTTTTTTGTTTAGTGGTCGAGTTTTATTGTCTCATAATTAAAAACAATATTGTTTGTACTTTCCTGGTATTCAAACATCTATCTTTCTTTTGTCTTGTATTTTTTGTTTAATTAATTAAACTTGTTTTGCGTCGAGTAAAGAAATATTCAAATTATGTTTAAAACTGCATATTAAAAGGGGAAATGGAATTGTAACCCTTTAAAGGTGGAGGGGGCTTAATATATTCTATAAACTAGACGTTAGACTCGACATAATAGACTAGACTATGGACTAGACGATAAACTAGACTATAGACTAGACTATAGACTAGACTATAGACTAGACTATAAACAAGACTATAGACTAGACATAAACTAGACTATAGACGAGACTATAGACTAGACTATAGACTAGACTATAGATCTAGACGATAGACTAGACTATAGACTAGACTATAGACTAGACATAGACTAGACTATAGACTATAGACTAGACTATAGACTAGACCTATAGACTAGACTATAGACTAGACTATAGACTAGACTATAGACTAGACTATAGACTAGACTATAGACTAGACTATAGACTAGACTATAGACTAGACTAGACTATAGACTAGACTATAGACTAGACTATAGACTAGACTATAGACTAGACTATAGACTAGACTATAGACTAGACTATAGACTAGACTATAGACTAGACTATAGACTAGACTATAGACTAGACTATAGACTAGACTATAGACTAGACTATAGACTAGACTATAGACTAGACTATAGACTAGACTATAGACTAGACTATAGACTAGACTATAGACTAGACTATAGACTAGACTATAGACTAGACTATAGACTAGACTATAGACTAGACTATAGACTAGACTATAGACTAGACTATAGACTAGACTATAGACTAGACTATAGACTAGACTATAGACTAGACTATAGACTAGACTATAGACTAGACTATAGGACTAGACTATAGACTAGACTATAGACTAGACTATAGACTAGACTATAGACTAGACTATAGACTAGACTATAGACTAGACTATAGACTAGACTATAGACTAGACTATAGACTATAGACTAGACTATAGACTAGACTATAGACTAGACTATAGACTAGACTATAGACTAGACTATAGACTAGACTATAGACTAGACTATAGACTAGACTATAGACTAGACTATAGACTAGACTATAGACTAGACTATAGACTAGACTATAGACTAGACTATAGACTAGACCTATAGACTAGACTATAGACTAGACTATAGACTAGACTATAGACTAGACTATAGACTAGACTATAGACTAGACTATAGACTAGACTATAGACTAGACTATAGACTAGACTATAGACTAGACTATAGACTAGACTATAGACTAGACTATAGACTAGACTATAGACTAGACTATAGACTAGACTGACTATAGACTAGACTATAGACTAGACTGACTAGACTAGACTATAGACTACTGACTAGACTATACTGACTATAGACTAGACTGACTATAGACTAGACTGACTATAGACTAGACTGACTATAGACTAGGCTTTAGACTAGACTATAGACTAGACTATAGACTAGACTATAGACTAGACTATAGACTGACCGCAAGGGTAATCCTTTATAGGATAACGGGTTTAACGACCCCGCGGACCCTGAGTTGTCGCAGGTGTGGAGAGCGTACCAAAATAGGTACAAGAGCTCAGAGAAACCCAGCGTCGGGGCGAGTGGATGCCGCCCTTGAATAAGTGTCTATCAATATAATTCCTCCCTGTGGGAAAAAAAAAAAAAAAAAAAAAAAAAAAAAAAAAAAACCGGCCAAAACACCAGCGGTAAAAACATCACTCTATAGATATTATCCTGCACTGGCAGTATATCTGTAAAAGAGTAATATCTGCGTTGAAACCCTATTCCGATGGAAAAAAGCTCTACACCTGCCCAAACTACTTATTCCCGCCGAAAGGCATTAAGATCAAGCCCAGTACGATCTTAATTATGGCATTTCTGGACCAATGTTTTTGATTTACGATTTTTGGGCCGACAGCTGCGGTAATCTGGAACCTAAGTAGTCAGAAGTGATATTCTGTTGAAATGGCTTCCAGGCAAATATCACAACTGCCTTCCGTCCTAGTAAAATTTGGCAAATCTTAAGGTACGTTCGAAGCTTCGTCATCATTCAGTTGGTGGTGCAGGTTCGGATGAGTTTCCCGATTAACATGGATCTGGCACTGGCTTGTAGACTCATAAGGACTTCAAGTCAACCCTTGCATGGCCTCCCTGCTAGCATAGACAACCATGGGATCGAAATACATGACTGCACAACGGGCGGAGATAGCGGCCTTAAGTTTGGACCCACAAATATGCGTACTGAAAACAACAACAACAACGATAATAGCATTAATACTGCTGTTAACAACCACACAGAGGAAACAGTTGACTCTTCTGCGAGAAGTTCGGTAGTTGTACAACCACCAATTGCATCGGCAACTGCCGTTACCGAAAACCCCAGAGAGGCAAAACTAGGTAAATTAGGCGAAAAAATATCGCAACTAGTGAGTTATTTCAAAGGTAGAAACAATATACATAAAGAGATAATATCAATATCCCTAGAGATCCAAGCGATATTTATGGAAGTTTTTCCAGAGCATTACGTACCACAAGTGAATCAAATTGATCCTGCATCACTTGACGCGAGCAACCAAAGGGACGAAGCAGTCCGTCCACAGCCACCACAACTGAACACCCCAAAGAGGAAAAGAGATCAAGTATCACAGAGCCCAAAAGGTAACAATCCTAAGAAAAAGAAGAATGCAAAAGCCTCAAAACAAACCAGTGAAAATAAAGAAAACGAAACATCGAGCAACTCCAAGGACGAAAATGTGGAGAAAACTGGTACTGAACCTAAATGGGTGAAAGTTAATCCAAAAGCGAAGAAAAAGAAAAAGTATCCACGACCAGATGCCCTTGTCATTGAAACATGTGGTGAAACAACATATGCGGATATCCTTAAAAAAGTAAAAACGGATCCGAAGTTAGTTGTTCTTGGCCAAAATGTTAAGAGCATCAGGAAAACTGCAAAAGGGGAACTGCTTCTTGAATTAAATAAATCAGCCCACCAGAGTACGTCCGAATTCAGTCAGACAGTCAAAGAGGTCATTGGCACAGACGCAGCAGTGCGAGTAATGATAAACGAATTGTTCTTAGAAATCAAAGACATAGATGAAATAACCACAAAAGAAGAAGTTCACGAGGCCCTGATTAACCTATCCGAAGATTTTAAAGAAGTGCGATTAACGGCAGTAAAAAACATGAGAAAAGCATATGGTGGTACCCAAATTGCAACCATTGGTATCAATGCGATATTAGCAAACAAACTTTTAGAGCTTTCTAAGATTCGTATAGGTTGGGTTATTTGTCGTATACGAGAAAAAATTGCACCTAGGAGATGTTTCAAATGCCTAGAGTTTGGTCATCCAGCTGCAAAGTGTAAAAGTATAAATGACTACACCAACAACTGCCTGTGTTGTGGAGAAATTGGACACAAAATAAAGTCCTGCAAAAATACTCCAAACTGTTTGCTTTGTAAAACTATCGCGGCAAAAAGTGACCACACTACGGGGGCAAGAGTGTGTCCCTTCTATGTTAAAGCGCTTCAAAACCTAAGCAAACGCGCATGAAATTGCTCCAACTAAATTTAAACCATTGCCAAGCTGCTCAAGATTTATTGGACCAAAGTGTACGAGAACTAAACATTGACGTTGCTATCCTTAGTGAGCCATATCGCTGCTACATTTCACCAAAATGGGTTAACGATAATTCAGGTACATCTGCTATTTGGTCTAGAAGAAAACAAATGTCGCAGTCCATGTCCACGATAAAAGAAGATGGTTTTGTTAGTGCAAATGTAAATGGAATTTATATATACAGTTGTTATATACCACCTAGATATACGGATGAGGATTTTAAAGTGATAATTGCGAGGCTGGTGTCTGACTTGCTAAACAAGGATAAAGTATTGATAGCAGGAGACTTCAATGCCTGGGCTACAGAATGGGGTTGTCCACGTACAAACAGAAGGGGAAATATTCTTTTAGAATCACTTAGTGTTCTTGATATTGTACTCCTGAATACTGGT